AAATGATCAGACACCCCAATTTACAATTAATTCAGTACAAAATTCTACACAGAGTACACTATACAGGTCATCGGATGTTCAAGATGGGGTTTGTGTCGTCTGACACCTGTACACACTGCACAAACAACATTCCTGACAATTACATTCATGCACTGTGGTCCTGCCCACCTGTCCAGGAATTTTGGGGTAGAGTATGTGAGGATCTGTCAAATTGTCTGAAATGTCATATCCCAACTTCCCCCTCTCTTTGTTTACTGGGAAACCTGGACGATGTCCCGATTGCAACATCTTTGGTTCACGTTCTGACTGCCATATGCATCGCTAAGAAAACTATCCTCTTGAATTGGAAAAATAAAGAAACTCTCTGCATTAACCAGTATAGAAATCTTTTGTTAGATCATATTACACTTGATATAGCCTCTGCTTCCACTTCAGATGAATCTCTCTGGGCTCCTTTGATCGGTTCCATCACATAGCGAGGGTGGGGGGGCCGTTGATGTTGTCCTGCGGGATGGTGTGGGTGGGGGGGTGTGGGGTCTGAGTTTGGAGTATCCGGATGTTCCCTGGAGGTGGGTTCACTGGGGGTGTCTGGGACTGGGGGGCCGTTGCCCCCCTCTGGAGGTGCTTGGGTTGCCTCGGGGGGTGGACTGCTGGCGGTTGTGAGTGGGGCCCCTTGGGGATCTTGGCGGCGGCCATGGGTCACTGCCTGGCGGCTGCAATGCCCCTGGGCGGGTCTGGGTGGGGGCCTGGGGGCTCAGGGTTTGGGGGTGGCCGGCCCCGTGTGGGGATCTGGGCGGGGCCTTGGGGGTTCGGGTCCTGACATGTATGCTGCCGGGAAGAAGGCAGGGACACCCAGCAGTGCCTGGCTCGGGTTCGGGGGCCTCAGGTAGACCTTGGCTCCTCTGCCGTTCCATCACAGGGGAGGGGGAGGTCCAGGAGGGGGAGGACCCAACCTTACCTGGATGTCCCATGTCTTATATATTCTGGAAGTTGTGCAAATGCAGGGGTGGGCATAGATATTCTGCTGGGGTGGGGCTGGGTTGGTGCTCTCTGACTCCGTGAGGCTCTGTAATGCTGCTGCTTTGGGCACTGGCAGGATGGGCTGGGGTCTCCATGCCCTGCGTGGCAGTTTGACAATACAGGTGCCTATTGGGGCCAGTAGGGGAGCTGGCTCCCTGGAGGGCTAAGCCCAACCAGCCATTCCTCCCCATCCCCGCATATTTCTCTCCTCCTGCTCCCTCACATCATCACACAAACATACACATAGGACCTTGGGGGGTAGGCAAGTCAGGGAGTGCGGGTATGGACCCCATTTCCGCATTCCTGTGGAAACCTGCCCCCCAATTTTATTTGCACCTTATACACTTCCACTGACGACATTCCACACAAAGACACACTTAGGGCCTTGGGAGTGAGCACATTCAACGGCATTTGGCAGGGGGATATTTCAGCCTCCTCCCGAGTGCCGTTGCCCACTTCCAATTTTAAACCGCACTTAGACACTGATGGCTGAGGGTGTAAGTGGGGTGGTGCAGTGGCATCAGCTGGCATATGCTGGATGATGCCCACACTGCCCACTCACCACAGCCATAGAATACACCTCATGATCACACAACACTATATTGGAGCAGGTGGAGGGAGACTAGGGGTCTTAGCCACCTCTGTTGTTGCTAGGCTTCCTGGGGCTGGAGGCTAGGAGGGAGATCTGGCCGTCTGGTTGGGGTCTGGGGTGGTGGGTTACTGTGCTCAGCGTTGGGCGGGGGAGCCTGCTCATCAGCACCCCAGTAGAAAGGGTCAAACTCTGGTTACCGGTGATGGTTGTACCCAATGTGCAGCAGTACCGGGACCAGAGTGAATAGGGTGTGTATGGGGAGCATGAGTGGGTGTCCGGCGTGCATTTTTGTAAGTCTTGGGTTGTATGTGCATGTGTGAGAATGAGGGAGGGAGCGTGTGACTGTGTTTGTGTATGACTGTATATGTCAGGTGGGGCCTTTGGGTCCTCCCCTCTCCTGGAACTTCTCTTGATGATATAGATCTCTGTCCCCCCTCCCCCTGCCACACCTGGTGTGGGGGCTTGTGCCTTGGTCTGCCTGAGTGTTCGTGGCAACCGGGTCTGGGGGTTTTAAGATTTTGGCATCTGCCTGTTAGATCCCGGTGGCTGCCTGGTGGGGTCTGGGTCCCTGGGCTCTGCTGGGTCCCCGGCGGGGGTGGTCGCCCCTGGGTCCCGGGTCGCTGGGTCCCGGGCTCGGCCGGCTAGGGGGTGGGAGGCTGCGGGCGGGCCTGTGGGCTTGCCGCTGATATCTCCAGGGACTCTGCCGGCTGCTGGTTGTGGCCCCCGGGGCGATCCTCTGTGCCTCTCGGGGGGGGGGGGGCGGGGGCCTTCCTGGTTGCAGTCTCCTTGGGGTTCCTGCGTTCCGGGGCAGCGCCTGGATCTCTGGGACTTGGAGCTCCCCCTGTCTCCTGCACATCTTTGGGGGGCGGATCTGTGGTCCCTCACACTCTCTGTTGGGCGCTCCTATAGAAAAACCTTAAATAAACAAGCGCGTGTACACACACAGGTGCTCACATGGTGCTCTCAAAAGTATGGGCTTGGGCACGTTAAACACAGGTCTTAAGACTATGGTGGGCACTTAATGCGTTGTGATTTATTATCGTGATTCTTCAGTTAAGCAATATTGATTATATATATATATTTTTTCTTTTCATCAAGTTGACGCAGTGATAGGTAGATCTTGTTGTATTGTTGTTGTGTCCCTTTTTTTGTGTCCCTTTGTTTTTTTTTTTTGTCTTTTTTTTCTGCAGGTCTAGAAGCAGACTCTTGTTCATTTTTGTTTATTTTTGTGGCCCCCCCCCCCCCCCCCCCCTCTCTCTCTCTCTCCCCACCTTTTCTTTTCCTTTCTCTTTCACCTCTGTCTCCGTGTCTGGTCGGAATTACAAAGCATTCAACAACAACAACAATAAAGTTTTAAGTATCAGGCGTGACATTAAAAGCAAACGCTTTGATGCTCCACCTGAGAATAAATCTGTAAGGCTTGTCACCAGCATTCAGACATCAATTCTGCTTGCTTCACAGCCAGACAGGACACGTTAAAAAAAAAAAAAAAAAATCTGTTGCGCTTTACCAACCAAGCAACGGTTCCTTTCGGAATAAAAGCTGAACTCACTGACCCTCCGGGTCCATCTGACGCTGTCAACCAACTGTCGCTTTTTACCTGGAGACAATCCAAAGACTAGTCTGTCGTACTGCTGACGCAGTTTCATCGGCTCCGGTACCGAAAGGGGGGTCCGAGGACCTGGCATTCTGGATCTGTACGGAGGTCTCATCCTAAGGTTATGTGTGGAGTGACAAAATGACGTCTCATGTGTTTATGAAACTCCGATCATAGCTTAGGAGCAAAACATCACTTCATCACTCAGACGTGCTTCTCCGGATAGGAGTTCTGATGACAACATCACTCACACATACACCATCCATCTCACGTCTCATTCACACCAAGATCCATCCATTCACTTAGAATTTATAGTCTTGTTTAAAATTGTTTAGAAATGAATCTTCTTAAACGTTTTAAAGGTGACTCTCCCTTCTCTTGTCTCTCAGTTAATACGAAGTGTTACATAATCCCTGCAATAAAAAGTTCTAATCTTCTGGTTAAAATTACCCAAAGATCCATAAGATTGATTTCATATTTACTATGGAATCTCATGTCTTATGGTTCATTAAATAGATGTAAATTAAACCCTTACATCATGTTTATGACAAACTTGGTGTTGTGGTGTGTGATGTACGCTACTCAGCGCTGATTGGCTCGGTTAGAATTCTCACGGGGTGGGGTTATTTGAATGGGAGAGTTCCCAGACCCTTTCTCTGTGCAGAATTAAACAGAGGAGGAGTCTGGCAGGCCAGGCTACCAGATCGCACCTCCAAAGACCAGATATAAAAGTTGAGGTGATCGCTCTTTCCAGGCTGTTGCACCCCAACTTTGGAATGAACTTCCTTCATTTTTACGATGTATTGTCAATCTGGACTCCTTTGATCTTGCTCCTGGAAAGCACATTGAATTGCTTCTGTGTTCTGTTTTTAACTGCCTTTCATTTGTTTAATGAAGTTTTGTTGTTTGATTTTATGATCTTTATGTTATGCTGATCTTTGTGAAGCACTGTGTGATTTTTCTATTTAAACACATTTTACTTCACTTCATAAAACCCTTCCACAAGAAAGAAACCAGGAAGGAACATCCTGAGCTGACTCCTATCATTGCCAAGGATGAGAAAGAGATTTTGTTCTTTCAGTAATGATTAATTTCTAATACCTAAAAATCAGGGTTTAAACACAGCTGGACTCCAAGAAACTGAGAGCTTTACTTTAGGGCAGGGCTATTCATTTCAATGCCTCGAGGGCCGGTATCCAGTATGTTTTAGTGGTTTCTCTGGTCCAACACACTTAATTCAGTGGTTGAATCACCTGGTCGGCAGCCCATCAGGCTCTGCAGAAGCCTGTTAATCACCTGCAGATTAAAATCAGGTGCGTTGAAGTAGGTTTAAAACCAAAACATGTTGGATTTCGGCCCTCAAAGCCCAAAAATAGAATAGTCCTGCTTTAGGGCATGACTCTGTTTTGATCCCAGTCTGGAGTAAAACCTTCATTACTGCAGAAGGAGCCCTGATCCATCTATCTATACAATCACAACTGCTAACTAACACATGAAAGCTTATTTGCCCGTTGTTGAGAGTGCACACTTTCCTTCAATTTAGCACAACAAGAAAGAAATGTTAGTGTTTACATTTGTAAAACATTCAAGAAAACAATAAACAGCCTCTTTGATTCCATTTGACATTGAAGAAGCTGATATGAGACAGGCACAAATTCATCTAACTATCCAATTAAAGCGTGTTTCCCAAAAAAAAAAAAACGTCATGCTATTGCTATAAGGCTGGAGGTATAAGCTGCAAATAGAAAAAAAAATGCAAATGTGAACAGATCAGTTTGTTTTTTCCGTTACCTTGGCAGCTAGGCATCTGACAGCCGTCTTCCTCGGCGCTGCATTATCACTTGCCGTTGCAGCAGAGCCCTGGTTGGACTGGGAATCAACGGGCTGTTTGGACACTCCTTTTCCGTGCTTCTCCCCAACTGTAGAGTGCAACGCAATAGATGCAAAGCTGCCACGAGTTAATTTTATTAAATAAAATAAAAAATACAACACACTCTTAAAGGGCTCAAAATGATGAGCTACCTGGCAGCAAAACTGGAAATAATATTAGGTAACAAATAAAAGTAAAAAAACAAGACATCCTAGTTCAGAGACTGAAGAGTGAGGTGGGAGGTGGGAGGTGGGAGGTGTGGGGGGGGGGGGGGGGTGTAGCGTAACTGTGCTTAAAGATAAACTAAACGCTGTTTTTTATTTGCTGCTCTTGCTGTTCAATGTGACGATCCTTGTCAATGTGCTTCAGGTTCTGGCTGAAAGCAGGAAAAAGAAAAACAAAATGTTTTTGTCTATTATTTATATAACACCACATGTGTTATAATTTACTCAAAAATTATTATAAGCGTGTCCCAGCATGCAACTGTGCACAATCTAGTTGCATGGGAGGTTCATCTTCTTTTATTAGACAAAAGAACAATTTCAGCTCCATTCTCAACAGGAAAAAACAAACAAACTTACTCCAATTACAAAGCTGCAATCAGCAGAAAAACCTCAGGGGAGAACTTGAAAGCCAATTGCGTGACCCAGTTGCTAACCCACTCTCAAAGAGCACATTTTATTACAAATTTCCCACTAAAATTTGACTCCACTGCAGCAAAAAGTGCAGATCAAACTTATTTTAGGTGGAAAATAGTGGTCTTACATTTAGGGGAGGAGCTTGGGCTGTGAGGCATGCTGGAACCTCCTTGTGGTGTGCGCGTGCCATGACAGCTGAGCGTCACCAGCCGCCAGATGATGGCAGTCTTGCCAGACCCCGCGTTCCCCACAATAACTGTGCCGCGGCCCTCGCAGCTGCTCGTTTTTCTCAAGACGTCCTCCAGACGAGTAAAGAGCCAATTCCGTCCAACGAAAGGTGTTTCTGCGGTGGCGCCGGGAACTTCGAACAGGAGCGGTTTTAGCATGATGTCTGCTTGTTTGACTGGTGCCAGCCTCCCTGTTTCATGGAGGACATGTGTCATGTTTACTCAAGTGATAGGGAAATATAAAACTAGGCATGTTTCACAAAGTTTACCTTTGAAGTCATCACTTGTACGTCCAGATGTGTTGTGCTTACGGAAGGAGCTCCGGTGCCCAGCAGCCCTCTGGTTGTCCAGATAACTCAAATCTTCCAACCGAGTGGAGCTTGTTGCTGTGCAGAGCGAACGGGCGGGGGAAGCATTCAGTGTGAGAGATGCGAGAAATGTGCATAAAAAACACACACATGCATTCTGCAGATACACCTGTCAATTACAGTATCCATGGAGACGCAGGCATAAACAGGTTCAGGTCTTACTGACACAAGCTCAGTGACCTTGAGGAAACAAGGAGGAAAACAAAGAACTCATCTCACAGCCTCCAATCGCGAGTCGACATGAATATGAAATGACCAAATGTTTCCTGCTCTCACAGGTCATCCGATTTGTAATCTGTGGAAACACATCCATCGCCGGCTGTAATGCCAGAACGTATAAGCCGTAGATTTACCAGCGACCAAATGAGCCACTTCAGAGACAACTTGAAACACAAAAATAAAGAACGTGTTTTAGTGAAGAACATAAAGACAAAAACCTCATTTCTGTATTCCCATCACTTCACCCCCTCATGCTAGGGAGTTTAAAGGTCAGGTTATTGTAAAACATAAAGGAACACTATATTCTTCGTTCTTTCAAAAACAATAATACTCCGATTTTTTGTAAGGGACATTGCTTTGCAGCAGAATAGAGAGCGCTCATCTCATTCTTCATGTGAGACCTTCTGAGTCAGAGTAAATACATGGGTTTATCGTTTATCGTTACCCTTCCTGGGCTGTCCTTACACTGACATGGTCAGATTACGCTGAACACTGAGGAAAAGTGATTCTCTCTGGTGGAAACGCTATCACGGCTTCACGTTTATACTGGTATTAACTCTCTCTAATACTCTTGTAACAGCATAAACCAGTTCATGAGGACTCAGTTTTCTATTGTTTGGAATAGCTGAAAACATCCTCAGCTAGGTGTTTTCTACAATCTGGTGGTTTTATGGTTAGCTGCCTGTGAGTCTGAGCAGAAAGTGAAGAACCTCTGTTCCAATTTAATCCGTCCATAGCTCCCTTTCTGTCTGAATCTAATCCAAGCCGTTTACAAATCCAGTGGCTGGAAACCAACTAAGCAGAAGACATGCACTGACACTAGAACGATCCATGATTATTGGGATGAGACTGGTTTTGCTTTTCTGCCCTCTTTCTATGTTATTCATTTAATCAGTTGTATATACCACTCTCTTACATATTTTGCCTGTTTTTTCTTTTGTGTCACACCTAAATGTTTCAGACGGGCAAACAAGTGGTTGTTATCAATGAAAAAAACGAGTAAATGCAAAATACTGTTTTCAAATGACCATTTCATTTATTAAGGGAGAAGAGCGATCCAAACCAACCTGGCCCTGTCTCAAAAAAGGATCACATGCCTTGTTAAAACATGAAATAACTATGATTAATCACAGTTAGAAATCTGCTCAAATCCATCAGTAACACCCACACCTGATCACTGCCAGGCCTGTAGAACACGAAGCAGGCTAAAAGATCTCAGAAAGCATCACCTCACGCCCAGTTCTCAAGAAATTAAACAATTAGTCAAGAACATCTAAAGCACTGCAGGCCTCTCTTAAAAGGGATTCGTTTTAGGATTCATGACTCAACACAATGAATGGGAAGGGGGTTAAAATGGCTCCATGGGAGGGTTTGCGGGCCAAAACCTCTACTCAACAAAAATAACGTCACCTTAGTCATATAGGATAATATTTTGCTTACTTAAAGGGCAAAGAAAGTATTATCTGAAGTGAAGCTAACATAACATTTCAGAAAATGAAGATCAAGCTAAGAGTGGAGGTGTAATGGTCTGTAGCTGCGTTAGTCCTCTCTACCATGAAATTCTGAGGAAGAAAATCAACCCAGCTACCTTATAATCTATGCTCAAAGTTATGTAGCACACCAGCAAGTCCACCTCCAAATGGCTAAAAAATTCATTTTTAAGCGGTTTGGTTAAAAACCATTCTTAACCCTAACCTGGCATGACCTTAAACGGGCGGTTCATGCTGGAAAATCCTCCAATGTGGCTGAATTAAAACGGTTCCCAATCTAGGGTCCGCTACCCCTTAAGGGGGTCTCCACAAGATCGCGGGGAAGCCCACAGTTTTGTCTGTGCTGAGGTTGTGTGATCACCAAAGTTATATTTCTAAAAATGACACACCCAACAGTTTAATAAAAACTCAGTGTAAGAGTTATAACTCCAATTACAAACTAAACACACACTTAATCACTTTTAACGTAGGTATGCAGGTGGGAGACGAGGTTGGAGGGCCCTGGCTCGACTTGGACACAGGCAAGGGGTCCAAACGGTTTAGAATAAAGAATTTGTTTTTTATCAGACAAGATTGTTTCATTCATTTCCTGTTATTGGGTTTTATCTTCAGTCTTAAATCTAGAAAAAACACAGAAAATCTGGTATTAGTAATGCCTCTAATCTCTTCAGAGCAGGATGAATAAAAGGCCAAAATCCTGTCGTACCATGAAACACTGAAAATAGACCAATCAAACCAAGTAAAGAAAATAATTGTTTCTATAATAATTATTATGCACTGAACTTTACAATCTGGGATCACCGGAAAGAGTTGTAGCGTACATCTGAGCTGTTATGAGTTTTACAGAAGAAATGCTAGTGAAAACCTGAGTCAGCAGCTGTCCTCCAGCATCTTTTGTTGGTAAAATCAGTTTAAAAAAAAGTACAGTCAGGCTCAAACCACAAAATGTGAAATATTTTGGGCTTTGTTTGGGTTTCACCGTACAGCATAGTGTAATACTGACAATCTTTGATTAAAATACTCCAGAGCATCCAGGGAAAAAAGAAAAAACATGAAATTGTGAACAAGAGTGGAGAAATGTGGCTTGAAAGCACATCCACGGTGAGAGGATGGAGCAGTCTGCAGCAAAACAGTGTGAAGGAGGTGTGGAGTGGGATGAGAGAGAGCGGGAGAGAGATTAGTGGCTAAAGACAACCGGGCCAAATGTCTGAGTGAACCAACAATACAGTGAATGAGCAAAACATGTTTTCAGCCAGTTTGACACAGGGACACCAGGACAGCTCATCCTTCCACCCATTCACACTCCAGCCTATCCCACACTCACTGCCCACCTTTATCCTCCCTGCTGATGACTGTGCTAGCTGATGGTCTGCAGCCCTTGTTGATCCATCAACATTTTAAAGTTAAAGCTGTGAGGCCTCAGCTCAAGCGCCCAGGGTCTCAAAAAATGCAGGAAACACTTAAAGACTTGTTTTACCTGCAGATTACAAATCGTCCACTCACATAAAGCCTCTTTCAACTTTGAAGACCAAGTTCACTAGTTTTTTCTAAACATTTGTGGTGGTCTCTAGTTTTACTGAATGCCTTGAGTTGATCTCTGTGGGGAAGGGAGCTGTGGCGCTTCTGTTTTAGGAACTAGACGTGAGACAGAGCAGAGGGTAGTAGAAGGATCTGGAGGGCTACCAAATCTCACGCACTGAGCGTGAGACACCCTCTTCACACACTCTCACACCACACATCCAATATCTCATGCACTGAAAATTTCAAAGGTTGGCAGTACTGGTCTTATTTTTTAGACACCTCACTCCTGATTGGCGAACAGCACAGCCTGCACTTCCTTTGCAACCAGTGTTCCCCTACATAGGCTCAGGCGTGGCGCTGTGCCGCCACGGCAGAATTTCCAGTGCCACGTCTACAAGACCCCCCCCCACACACACACACACACACACACACACAGAAGGGAATAAATTTTTCTAGCAACATTTATGTTTCATCTCCACAAATAACACAAGCCTGAAGAAGGCAATGTCGTGGAGTTGCTAATGCTAATGGTTAGCTTCTACTAGCCAACATGTGCTCTCCTCCTTGATGCTAAATCAACAACAGCCTTCCCTGTTACGAGCTAAGATGGGTGAGTCTATGAATGCAAATTTTTCAGTGTGACTTTTATTTGACTGGCTTTCGTAATCTGAGATTCCCCGTCTCTTTTCTATCGATGGCGAATGCAGGAGAAGCGGTAGAGGACTATTTAAACATACAGCCTACATGTTAAACTTAGACTGAGCAATCATATTTAAAAAAATAATAAAAATAACAAATGAAAAATGCTTTTTCAATGAACTTGGGTCTTGAAAGGAAAAATTCAACATGTTGAGAGATTGCCAAAGAATTAATGGTGGAAATAAATGTTTATCTTAAATATAATACATGGTATTTTGAGCATATAGGACCTGAGCAGATCAGCATCATTTACAATCACAGGGCAAAGCAGATATTATTTCTTTGTACGAGGCCTAAAAGATTATGTGGCACTTTGTGGTTTATATTTTCTCTCTCTTACTAATACATGACCTACTCAACAAGAACAAACGGCTGCTTTGACACACATTGCTGTTGAAACATATCTGCCCCCTTGCAGATAAATAGTTGTTTTCAAATGATGATCTGGTTTACTAAGAGAACACAGCTGTCTAAACCATCTGGTCCCATGTGTAAATGCATTTGCCCCTCTCGGTAAATCAAGAATTACCCCTTTCTGTCATGTGCCTGAGGGAGTACTCCTCTCATTTTCCCATCTTTCAGTTGTGTGTTTCAGGAGAGGGAGGCTCCAGCTGCAGCTGATTTGCAATCAGTGGGTCTGGCTACAAAAAGAGGATGGAGAAAACTCCTCAACGCCAGATGATTACTACAGCTTGGTAGTTTCCTGCCCTCTTGCGACTTTGATTTTGTGCTTTAGTGTTTCAAGGATTTTTTGTGAACCTTTGGATCTTTTCCCTGTGCTTACCCGTTACCAGGTTTTGGAACGTTTTTGGACTTCTGTGACTTCTCTGGATTACTCACATGTGCCCCATAGGATTTCCAGACAGCTCTCACCGTTCTCCATTCCTCCAGGCCGGCCCACTCTCCTGCTCTCCTCTCGCTCCCTCTCCTGGGCACCCCACTTGGATTCACCCCGGCACCCAACCTACCCTCCCTTATTCCCACGCTCCCCTACTCCCAGTAAGTCTATTCTCTGCACCCACCAAGTTTAGACTTACCTTCCTGGACTCACCTGTATCTCAAATCAAATCAAATATACTTTATTAATCC